GGGGGAGGGGCGCGGGGGGCGGGGAGCTGGGTACTGGGCGTTGGTAGACAGGACCCTTCAGACTCCTCAAGTCTCGGACTCATCTGTTTCTTCGGTGGAGCCGTCGCTCTCTGCATCCACTTTGCGGGCGTGATGCAGGGGTCTCCAGGGCGAGCCGACCCGGGGAGGGGTCCGGGTAGGCAGGCAGCTGGCCTCTGGACCGGCAGTGACCGAGTTGACCAGGCCTGGGATCTGCGCCAGCCTGAAGAAGGGAAGAAGCCCAGAGAGCAGCGAGGTGCCTCCCGTCCGGAGACCAGGACCTCCGCACTCACTCTTGCATGTGGATGGAACCATGGGCTGTATTCCCAAAGGACTCAGAGAGGCTCCCTCAGGCCTCTGCTGGCCCCCAAACCCCTCCGCAACCGATGGACAAGTGCTGTGTGACCCATGACGGGGCACTACCGTGTCTGACTGAGGTTTTGTCCCCACAAGGGGGCAGCATCTTCCCACCCGACACTTACAGCCGTTCTAGTTCCTCATCCAGAGCTGGGTCGTGCATCAGGTCCCCTTTGTCAGGCAAAGCTCCTAGGAAGTAATTGGGGGCACAAAACTTAATCTGAGGGTCATTCACCCGGGCTGCAGTCACACAGCCCCATGCCCAATGGATGCCTATGTGCCCCTCACCTTCATGTCTGCCTATTCTGCCAACCCTGGGAGAGCTGATCTAAAAGCTTTGGGGAACAGAAGTTTAAGAGGTCTGCTAGGGGGGCAGTAAGTCCTAGGTACTGCTGGAAAAATTTAGTGAAGCCCACTGCCTACCCTCCCCAGTCATAGCTACGAGACATCCCCAGACCTCAAGGTCATTGCACAAACAGGACGATCTCCTTCCAAGACTAGATGGTGGGTTGTGAGCAGGTACTGAGGGTTTGGTCCTTTCCTGAGGCCCCAGTTACTGAGCTGAAAAGGAGCCAGAGACACAGGATACAGCCCAGGCCCCAAAGACCATAAGTTATCTAGTTTTGTGCCTCTAAATCAGAGTGACCCCACTTTGGAAACAATGGTCAACGACGCTGCCTCAGCCTCTCCAGGGAGGGTCCCAGGGTGAGAAGAGAAGGTGGGGTCAGGATCAGACCAAACTCTCCTCTGCGTGGTCAGAAGCCGCCGGGAGGGGAGCTGTCCCTTCTCTGCCACAAATCTCTTTGAGCTGGTTTCCTCAGCTGTGAACCAAGGGAAGTAATTTTTGGATACTGGGGAAAGGTGAGAGGAGAGGGTCTAGGATGCTCTTTGGAGCAGTTAACAGCGGGAGGGAAGGTAAAGCTGAAGTTTGCAGATAGAAGATTTTCTTAACAGCAAATTGTTAGAGAAAAGAGCTTCACTGGTGGTCAGGAGCAAGATGTGGCTGCTAACAGTGCTAGTCTCTGGAAAGCCTCAAGCTTAAAATTATGCATCTGGCTCTAGTTCAATTCCTGACTTTTTCAGATGATGCCTCCCGGCCCCTTTTGTTCTAAGTGGTGTTTAAACTATGGTCCAATGGAACCCTCTTGTTGTTTTGTGTCTGTGAGTGGGTGGCGTGCCTTGAGGAGGACTAAGGGAACAGGACAACCCCTCCACAACTGGCTGCACCTGGGGGACCTCAGGTCTCTATTTCATACACTGGAGATGCAGGTGAGGGTAGAGACCATACGCTTCTTTCCATCTCCCACTTGCCCAACGTTAGTGCTCTGTAAAGGAACTTAAATGAATGACTGTCCTTCTTAAAGGCCCCAGAAAAAGTGAAGGCACGACGTTAGTCTACGCTGTGACCCAGATGCTACTTAGCTTTTCCTTTTTCTTCCTAGTGGCTGACTTGTGGACAGGAAGGGAGGGTCAGTTACCTAGGAGTGTAAAAGAAAACCTAAGCCAATTCCCCACTCCCTGCCCCCTTACTCCTGGCTCCTATTTGCCACATTTGTATTCCTCCTCCAGTTGGTGACCTTGGCTACCAACCTCATTCAGCTGAGGGGGGTCCCCATACCCGTGCATCGTGCCTGAGTGGACCCTCAGTCAGTCCTGCTGAGGTTTGTGCTCCTGTGCACCCAGGCCACCCCTAGCAGGCTCTCTGTCCTGTAAGATCTAAAGCATCTAGCCCAGCACTTGGGCTGCTGTGGCTGGCATTTAATGAATGTTTAACTTCCTTTTCTTGACCCATTCCCGCAACTGGCAAAAGTCTTCTTTTGAGACTTAGGAACCTGGGATCTCAAGCACACCTGGATATCTCTTGAGGAGAGAGACTAATAATAAGAACCCCTCTCAAGCTCTGTGGCGATGACAGCCTAGTGGCCCCTTCCCTGGGAGGGCAGCAGGTGTGGGAGGAGGAAGAGGAGGGTGGGTGGGAAGGCCAACCAGTGAGAGTAAAACGATGGACAGGAAAAACTGGGCCAGTGCGGGCCTCTCTCCGCCCCCCGCCCCCCTTTTTTTCCACTCCCTTTCAGACTAATAAGATTTTTTTTCCAGATGGGAAAAAGGTCTCCCCAAACACACCTTTGCCCTGTTTACAAATGGGATTCAGGTGCCTCTGATACATAAGCTCCAGAGCCACTGATTAAATAGCCCTGTGTCTGCCCAACCTGCAGGCCACTCCCCAAAGCAGAAATGAGGATTCCATGGGAGGGGCTGGGCACGCCTCTGCCATGGAGAGGCTGCTTCATGTTGGGGCAGGACCTCGGGCGGGGAGCACTCTCCCTTGCCACGGGAGGGTGAGAGGCCTCAGAGGGCACATCTTGTGTTATGCACGTTCTGGCTCCCTAGGCCTCAGAGTCTGGCCCTGAGAAGTCAAGGCAGACATGGTGAAGCTGCCTCCCTCTTGGGATTCTGTCCACCAACACAGGCCAGCTTCTATGTGGCTTTACACTGTAGGGGCAGGAGAGGCTGGCCACAGATAGCTCTGGCTTACCTAGGGCTTGGTTGATCCCATGATGCTTTGAGAGGGCCACGAGGAATCCATAGAAGGTCAGTCTCTGAACGTTGCTTAGGACCTCTTTGACGAGTGCTGGGGGTGGGCAGCTAGAAGGGAGAATACAGATGCCAAATTCAAAGACTAGTGAGTCTGAGTGCCATCTTTTCATCCAAACCTTCAGGCTTAGGGGGATGCCCAAAGCCAAGACTGAGGGATCTGCCTACCCTGGGAGCCCTAAGACCCTGGGGAGTATAGCAGATCTCCAGAAGGAAGGCCTTGACTGTGAACAGAAAGGCTGGCATGTTCACTAACTGGTGCTTCACTGGCAGGGGTGGGAGTGGGGGAATGGGGAAATGGCGCTGGGCAAGGCCTCCTCTTGGAGGAGACCAACACTGGCTGCTCTGTCCCCAAGGGGACTTTGTGCTACACAGGACAGCTTAACCCTCCCTTTCTGTAGGGTGAATTCCTCGCACAGTGAATATTTTTTTCCCTCTCTCTAAAAAGTCAAGACCAATCTATCTCCTGGCAAGAAGGGGCCCAAGTTGGTCATCTACAGCTGCTCTTGCCCAGGTGAAAGCAATCCTTCCTGTGAGCCACCTGGGAAGACTTTCAGTCAACAGCCTGGACTGGGGGGCAAAAGGCACTGTTCTAATTTATACTATGACCATCAAGGGCCTAAAAGCCCTGGGCCAGTCAGAACAGCCTGCTGGAGATCTGTTCGGGGCCAGGAGCCTGCAATCCTGGGGCTGAGGTGGGGTCTGCGTGCCCATTTCTCACCTGTACTTGTGCCGGTCACACAAGTTCTCCAGGCACTGGTAGAACAGTGACGCCTCCACGCCCTCCAGCATGCTGGCCTCACCCAAGGTAGGCCGCTGGCGGTGCTGCCCACTGGATGACGTCGGCACAATCACCGTATTGGGGTTCTTGCCTGACAGCAGGTCCTGATAGATGGCAGCCACGCTCTCCAGGAATTCTGGGTACAGGGGTAGAGGGGCACAGGTCAGGTGGGGACGACACACTTGGTCCCCTCACAGTGCCCTCCCTTCTCTGTGTGTTAGCTCAGCTCCACACCAGCCTCAGTCATCAGGGAACAGTGTCCTGGGAGCAGGGGCCCTCGGCCTCATGTGACCACTACACTCATGAGAGATGACACTAATATGTGTTTCAGCTCAAATGTCCCCTCCTCTGGCAGTTGTTCCTAGACCAGGTGAGACCCCCTGTTACATCCTTTCATGCACCCTGTACTCCTCTGTAGTGCTTATCCAGTGAGGGGTTTTCTACTGTAACTACTTGTTCACTCTGTCTCCTTGCTGGAATGGAAGATCTTGCATAAAGGCCTGGATCATGCCTTGTCAGCCTTCCTGTCCCCAGCACCTAGCACTGTGCCCGGCACATAGAAAATGCTATAAATATTTCTGAAAAGTTTTGAAAGGGGCTTGCCTGGTGGCGCAGTGGTTGAGAGTCCGCCTGCCGATGCAGGGGACACGGATTCGGGCCCCGGTCCGGGAAGATCCCACATGCTGCGGAGCGGCTGGGCCCGTGAGCCATGGCCGCTGAGCCTGCGTGTCCGGAGCCTGTGCTCCGCAACGGGAGAGGCCACAGCAGTGAGAGGCCCGCGTACCACAAAAAAAAAAAAAAAAGAAAAAAAAAAATTTTTGAACGGTGAACGTGTGCACACTCCTGCTGGTGAGCCCCATCTTGTGAGCCACCTGCCTCTCTGACTCAAGAAGGCACGTTGGAATACCAGTGTGGGAGAGAAAGCTTGCAAGCTGCTAATTTATTAAACATTTGAATTCGTTTTCAAATGTTAGTAGCTGAGCCCTCGTAGGTAAGCACAGACTTATGGCCCATCTCCCCGCTGCTGCCCCATCCTGGGACCGCTGTGAGAAGAGCCCCGCCAGACAGCCAAGGGAAGAGGGTCTCCACACGTGGCTGCTCCTTCTCTAGGGCCCAAGAAACTTCAGAGAAATGGGAAATAGACACCTGGAGCTGCTAAGAGCAGGTGGCGAGACCCCATGCTCCAGCCCCTGCCTGACCAGGCCCTTGGGCCACCATCAGGAAAACAGAGTGTGGCGCCTGAGTGAGGCCAGGGCTGGCTGGGGCCACCCGTTGGCAGGAAGGCCACGTCCAGGCTCCAAGGACAGCCTTCTGTTTACTGGAATAGCCTGTTTTAAACAAGTTTGTTTATGGACATAGCCAGCAATTTCTAAATCCAACATTCCATTTGATGTTGCTGTGTGTGAGCTGCTGGTCACTGGCGTTCATTCATCTATTTTTATTCCACCTGAGCCCAGAAGGTATTTAAGGGCACAGCTCGTGAGCACTGGGGAGCAGGGTGGGAGTGTGAGAGAGAACTGGCGTGTGCTTATTAAAAGCTGTGTGGGTGGAAAATGTGTGCTCACACATCTGAGGGCCCAGGGAGAGACCCCCGATTGCAGTGACACAGCAGAGTGGCTGAGCGCACTGGCTGTGGAGTGGGCCCTCTGCAGGTCTGGGCTCCACCCCCATAAGTGCTGTGTCTCTGGCAGCTTTACCTCTGTCAGCTTCTCTCTTAAAGGACCTACCTCTCAGGGCTACTGTAAGGATTAAGGTGCTTAGTGCTATGCCTGGCACACAGTAAGTTTTCGATAGTGAATTTATCGGGTGTTGTTCCAATAGTGTGTATTGTTGTTACTGTCATTATCACTTAAACTGATGCTTAAACTGATGGAAGCACTGCAGTTTCCTCTGTCTTGAGGAGGCTGAGGGAGTCGGCACTGCAGACTGAATCTTGTGATCACCAGCGAGAACTAGACATCCTGCTGCTGGGTGACCGGCTGTGAAGCACACCACGGAGGGGGGAGGGAAATGCACGCGCCGGGCACACGGATGGAAAGGGCAACAGGGTAGGAGAGGGCACGTGGTCCTGACAGGAGCCACAGGGGTCCTGGGAGACTCTCACCTGAGTAGTAAAACTGGATCTGGAAGGCAAAAAGGAAATCTGAAAAAGACATCAAGCAGTCCATGGCGTCGTCCATGAGCACAATCCTGAGGGGGAAAGAGAGAAAATATGAGAGAACGCGTGTACGTGTGTGTTTGGGGGAGCATTCGAGCGAGCCGTTCCTGGGGATCCAGTCTCCCTCGGGACAGCAAGACACTGGGGAGAGGGCTCCCCAGACAAGGTCCTCCCGGTCATGCCACTTCTCCATCGTTTGGACTCTGTCACCAAACTGAACTGAAGCGGGAGGCAGGCTCCCGCTTCAGTGTCTGTGGCACCAGCTGGAGGATGGGACATGGGTGGGTGCTGACAAGGAGAGGGGGTGCAGCTGCAATGCAGCCAAGACCCCTTTTCATACCCTTAAGCAGTAAACACTTCCATCCTGCAGTGAGGACCATTTAGTTCAGAATAAATACAGCTGATCAGAAAAGGCAAAAAGAACAGCCAAGAGGTTTAAAGGGGTCTTGGCAAGTGGCACTGAGATTTAATAAGCTACCAAGGGCCTTCAGAACGGCTACAGGCACCTCCGTGCTGGGACACAGCTGGCACAAAGAGCAGAGGGTACCGCTTGGGGTCTGCACTTGAGAGGGTCCAAGAACACACCCCATCCTGCAGCGCTGCGGGTCCTCCACGCACGCTGTCCGCTCTCACAAGCTGGCCACCTCCTGCTGTCTGCTCTCTCTACCCCTCCGCCTGCGCACTCACCTCGCAGGAAGAAAACCATGTGACCACTAAAGGGCTCAGACCAAGGCCACGTTCACACTCTGCTCAGGGCCTCACTGGACAGGACAGGAAGAGAAGGAAGTTAGCACTTGCTGGACTCCATCCATGTGCCAGGCAGGGTGCCAAACTCACCTACTGATGGGAAGCTGGGCCCCCCATCTGTTTCTTTTCTTTGTTGTTGTTGTTTTTTTGCCTGTGCTGTGTGGCATGTGGGATCTTAGCTCCCCGACCAGGGATCGAACCCACACCCCCAGCAGTGGAAGCACAGAGTCCTAACCACTGGACCACCAGGGAAGTACCCGCCCCCACCTCCCCATCTGTTTTTGACTGGGCCCTATCTTTCCTTTAAAAACAAAAAAACCTTTCATTTTGCTCTCTCGTGCATTTTTCTAATTCTCTCTCCACCTCCCTGGGTCCGAGAATCCCCAGACTGGCAACTGGATCAGCTCCAGAGAGAGCAGGCATTGCTCACCTCTGGGGAAGGGGCTTTAGAGAGAATATAATGCGAGCGGTGCCCCTGGAATTGTGCCAGGCAGCTGCCCTGGTTTCAGGTCTCCCCGGAGAGAGAAATGCTTCCTACCTCTAGTCTTCAGTTGTAATAATGGTAACGATAGAAACAGGCCATACTGACTGAGTACTTACTTCATGGCAGGCACGGTATAAGGTATTTTACTTATATTAATTAAAATTTATCCCACAACAATCCTATGAGGTAGGTCTTGTTGATTATTCCCGTTTTACAGGTGAAGAGATTAAGTCTCAGTGCAGTCAGCTTGCTGAGGTCGCACAGCTGGTGAATTTGCTCTACACGTCATGTACTTACTTTCTACTAGGTCTCACTGCCTCTTTTAAAATAAAAATAAAGCATATGAACACTTGCACTTTACTTCTTAGTTTATTAGCTGCCTAACTTATCTTTTTTCTTCTCACCTATATCTTAGGGCCTTAACTGTTTCTCATGTAACTCTTGGGGAAGACAAAAGCTGCCTCAACCACTAGACTTCAACATTAAAATTCCAGCTGGAAAAAAATTCAAGGCCAGAGAGTGGGAACGCAATGCTGCCAACGGCCACAGGAGGGCGTCCTGGTCTCTCCGGCAGAGGCTCCTGGGCCCAAGCGTTGAGCCGTTGGCCAAGTAGTTACCCCGTTTCTCAAAACCTCAGGCAGACGGAAGGGAAGAG